CAGTCATACTTTGGCGGTGTTGGATGTTGCTCTGAAAGGAGCCGCTAATACGACATCGTTCGGGTACGTCAAGAATTGTATGAAGGTTGTGATTGATCAATAAAGGATTCGTCACTCTTAGATAGTAAGAGATTATGATCTGCGTTTCATTCAATTAAGTCGATGATGAAATCCTTGGCCAAGGTGTACTCATAAGTCGAAAAGGAGTTTTCGATTTATATTGACTTAATAGTGGAGTGAAGATATGATCAATGATCGAGATTGACACAATTCCATATCTCGTAATTGATCGGATCGTATTGACGAAGGGATAATAGTTCCACGGTAAACGAACGAATTTGGTTTTGTCATATCACGTGACATTTTCCGTCACATGTATTGCCCTGACACATTGCTAGATGTCAATTAGGGACGGCGAATGTGAATTGACGATAAATTATAAGGGTGTATTAATTTATCAATTTTGATTAGATCAAAATAATATTTCACGACGTTAGGCATCGTGGTCGGGAACTTAATGGGTCGCACACAAAAGAGAATTGGAAGACTGCAAATTGTCAATTGATTAATTTAACAATCGTTGGATAAATTAATTAATTGAATTTGTTATTTATAATCCCGAATTAATTAATTGGATTAATGAATTCACGGACCGGGTTTGATTAATTGGATTAATTAAATATTGGACCGGACCGGACCGGGTCCGTTTGGGTTTATATATATATGCAGCTAGGGTTTGAGGTCCAGTAATTATTCATTATTCTTGCTAGCACAAGAAAGAAACCCTAGCAGTTGCTGTCTACTCTCTGTGTGGATTTCATTGGAGGCTGGACAATTGGACAGCTGTGGGAGGCAGATTCAAGTTGCTGGAAAGGAATAACAAGAAAGAGTTTGCAAATCAAAAGTAAAGGTATATTTCTCATTACAGTTTTTATCTAAATACAAAGCTGAATCCTGAATGGGAATTGAAACTTGTTAAATTCCGCTGTGCATGTTTAAGTAAATTCCCTACAACTTGTGCATTTCAAACTTTCTTGATGACCCTTTCTCAATAAAACATTCGAAGAAATGACCTTTTATGACAACATTTTTTCGTCGTTAAAAGTGAAATTTCTTGTAGTAAAATATATTACTAGACAATTAACAATGATATAAAGTACACTAATTAGTAAATAATGACAATTAACAAGATTCATGAAGAAAAATCTAATGGCAGACTCTACTAAGAAACTAGGGATGGCAATTCGAACCGTCAAAATCGAAAATCGCGGTTAACCGAATCAAATGGGACGAAAAAATCGAACCAATGGTGCAATGGGGCGGATATGATATTTGATTTTAATGAACCGGTTCGGGATGGGACAGGTATGGTATTTACGCCATCGCCTCGAGCCGAACCGATTAACCATTAGAAAAAATAATAAATTAATAATAATTGGAATTTCCATAATTTTTTTGATTTTTTCTATGTTAATTAATTAATTTCTTTGGCCCAAAATTCTAGCCCATTAAAAAATTAAATTTAAACACAAGTACCCAACCCTGAACCCTAACAGTCTAACACAAAGGCACAAACGTTTTATTGGAAAATTGGAATCTCAGTTCCTGCCTTCTGGGTCTGTCGAGTGCCGACTGTCTTATCATCTGCCTCCACCCGTTTGCATTATTTTCTTCTGCTTCGACCTCCAGGTTCTGTCAATGGTGAGCTTCTCATCTTCTCTTTTGATAATTTGTATTTGTCTATTTGAATTTGTTGTGAATTTCGCACAAGATTTGGCCAAAATATATCCAGAATTTTCAGTTTTTTACAATTGGTGGCTACTTTAGAGAAAAATGACTTTAATTTCTCTCCTCTTTGATGACTTTTGGCCTAAACAACACATAAACAAGAAATTGAATTCTTTAATTACAGAAACTAAAGTTTGGTGATGAGGATGTTGATGAAGATGTACATTTTTTTGTTTAAATCTTCAGTTAAGAATATTATGGACTACTGATTTATTACTTTACTTACATTTCTTACATTCTATATATGAATCAACTTTGAGTTTTGACGTATGCTAGTAATAGTTGTGGGGAAGAATGAAGATTGAATATGAATTAAGGTTGGAGCATTTGAGTTATTGAATATTGTTTGTTAAATTTGGATTTTGTATTTGAGAATTGGGATATTTTTTGCATTTTCATTTGAGATTTGCTTGCTACATTGACTTAGTATCATGTTTTTGTTTTCATTGACTTTTTTCATATATTTTTCTTTTTATTCGACGGATGGGCCAATTAAAAATAATTTATTTTCGTGGCTATTAACGACCCAAATCGACCCGAACCGAGATACGAACCGAACTGATTTTCGTGGTTATGGTATGACAAAAAAATTGGTAGTTCGGTGATGGTTTTGGCTGAACCAACCCTGAACCGAACCGTTGCTATCTCTAAAAGAAACAAAGATTTATTGCATGATGAATCGTCACTACTACAGCGTATGTGGCATGCTCTTTTTACAAAATTTCCACAACAAAAAAGAAGAAATAAAGAATATTTTGTGCAGATAACAATCGTGTAATTATGTATTCTACCAATAACATAACTCCAAAGCTCGACACGACCAACGAAGCCTTTCTCTATCTAAACACTTCTGAAATTTGCAGGAAATACATTAACTAGATCACTCAAGTTCTTTCTGTAGCGTAAATCTTTCGATAAATCTTGATTCCGAGCTAAAAAACAATCAAACGAACACCGGTTTACCTCGACTCGACCCAAGACTTTCGCTTTCACTTTGGACTGCTCTCTTTTCTCTCTAACCCCACAAAGGAGAAGGGTGGTGGTGTTAGCAATCCACAAAAGTATGGAGAGGAGGAAGAATATATCACAATAGTTGAATCTCACTCACAACCTCACATGGCTTCTCTCTCTCTCGGCTGTCTCTCTTCTCTCAATTCTCCTTTTCATTGCTACAACACACACACTTTGGGAGATAAATACATACATATATAGGTTAGTTTAGGTCACCAAATATGGGTCAAGAGATCTTTAAGTGGACTGCCATATAACCTAAACTAATGGGTCAATTTTCAACTCTATATCAATCACTAAATAGTCTAACTAAACAAATAATCATCCAATCCAAACCCGAGTCATCCAAAAGTGTAGTTCGTCTCCGAGCCGAGCCAAATCCTTAGTGTCGATAAATAATCCGACAACTGTTTTAAATCATTGCTCGAATTATTGGGTATCAAAAAACCCAACAGTTTTTGAAGAAACAATAAAATTTATCAGCTTAAGATTTTATTACAGTGGTCAATTCAAGATTTTGATACATTTTATCAATTAATTATAAGCAAAAAACCCTATTGAAATTAAGTATGATCTGGTATGTGGAACCAAAACTGGTGCTTGTGGATTTCATTTATAATTCAATTTTCCGCAATATTTGAAGAATATAATCAAAGTTGGGCTGTAAGATTTAGACCTTACACCTTCCAACTCTATTTTTCTTAAGATTTCATAAGATTTTTTAAATTAATAAATTTGGCCTGGTAAAATTATTTATTATTTGTCTCAAATGTCAGAAAATATATAAACCATTCATCAAAGTGGGCAGCACATACTATAAAAAAGGGGGAAAATAAATAAATAAATAAATAAATAAATAAATAAATTATTGTATATTGTAGTGTCAAATCTCGAGTATTACGTATTAGATATATCTAAAGAGAAAAATCTGGTTTATGATATTATAATGATAGTTGGGAAGGAATTTTTTTCGATAATAGTATGAAAATGGTGCTGAGAAGTATTTGAATCCCGTTAATTTCTAATATACACTATTTTCCGACGAGCTTGTAAATCTGGTTTAATTCTAATATACACTATCTCCTGAAGAGTTTTGCTATTTATATATTTGGGGTTGACACCCCTCTCATGAGAGGGGGGCCCACACATAATATCTCTTGTGAGGAGAGTGTCATCCGGGGTATTAACCTGTACAAAAAGCGAAATTGATTTCCCGACTAAGGTGGAAAGGGTTCAGATAGGGGCTGACTTTAATACAATATTCTTGACGAACAATTAATTATTCCCTATTTGACAAAGCTTTGTGAGATTAGATGTTTATGGTCTTCTTGCAATTTGCGATTTAAAATTGAATTAAAATGAAATATGTGGTTTAAAATGAAGTTTGATATGGGGGGAAAAAATTATCAAACAAGAGCATAGTGATCGTGCAAGAAATAAATAAATAATTTTATGCATAATAACAATTTTACAATGTCGGAATATGTCCTAGAAAAGAATCCATCAGGGCAGGTAAAATATTGGGAAAACAACAGTGAAGGTCACAATTTCTTGTGATTTTTATTTTTTTTTATTTTTTGGAAAAGCATTCTCGACCTTTAGATATTAACATTCAAAATTTTAACCTTTCACTTGCTTGACAGGATTCAGCCTATGGTCTTTCGAATGAAATGACTTTTAAGTTTCAAACAGATGGTTTCCGTCCAGTGAGGATTCAGTCATTACAAAATTGAAATATTTTGAATATAATTGCTACAAATTTAAAGTTAGGAAAGTTGAGAGTCAGCTGTAATTTTCCTTTAATAGTGAAGTTCTTTTAAAAATGCTACTTATTGCGTATGGGACTAAGAATTAGAAACTCTGACATTAAAAAATAAAAAATAAAATTCAACTCTTAAATTTATTATTCGAGAAATATTGGCTTAAAACAACTAAACACGTGGCCATTAAATTACCCGGATTTGGATTTCATATAATCAATAAACATAATTTTGGCAATTTTCAGTTTATTCTTATATAAACTTTAGTCAACTTTGTTCTGGGTAATTTTTTAAGATAGGATATCCTTGTAGCTTTTATGGATAATGTATTTATTAGGACATTACACAACAATTTTTGAAGAAGAGTTGTGGCAGTAGGATGAAAAGCTTGCACGAACTATTTCATTGATAATAAATAACATAAATCTTTTATTTTCTAGTTTATTTCCCAAAATACATGATACAAGTTGATACATTACATATAGATCGATATTCATATATATAAAATGCACCATAATTATTATTTATTACCATCTTAGTATAAAATATGAGTTGAGTAGGTTGATTACTAATGAGTGAGAAGGTAAAGATCCACCGCTTTAGACACTTCAACAGATAAGGTAACATAGAGATCTGGAATGGGTACTGTCTCAATAGCTTTCTCATACTCGATAGACCATTTGACAGAGCCGTTGCTTGCAGTAAGTGTGGTATTGTAACTTTTGTAGAGTTGCAGAAGATTTCCTTCCACAACTGCGAAAGTTATTGATCTTTCTTCATCATTTATTGCTTCGACCTTCACCTTCGCTGTCATTGAAATCCCTCCTGCCATTGTAAGGGAATTATATATGGTGAAATTATTGTCGGGATTTTCATGAAAAAAAATTATTATATTCTTACCGAGAACATAATTCCAAAGCTTGACAGAACCAACAGAGTCTTCTTCTCCTTCAATTAGCTGGACACTTTTGAAAGTTGCGGGAAACACATTAACAAGATCGCTCATGTGGTTCTTAAAGAAGNGGTAATGGAAATAAATTCTAAGAATTATTGTAAAAAAAATATTTTCCTTTAACTAACAATTTTAATGTAAAACAAAGATAAACGAACAACAAAAGATAGATGATTTTCTTGATATTTTTATTTTTTTTTTGGCAATGGAAACAAATTTTATACCCAATACCTACCTGTAAATTCTATCTCTTTAATTGACAATTTTCATATAAAATAAAGCCAAACGAATATCAAAAAATACTTTTATTTCAACATTTTCTTTGAATATTGGTTGAACATTGGCTATTATTCAAACCTACATGTGAAAAATTATACCATTCAAATACAATAATTTATAATTTCCAGAAAAAGTTTCTAGAGAATTCAATTCCCTCGAATTCGTTTTCAATTCAATTCCATCTTTATAATCAAACGGACCCTAAATTTAGGATAATATATGCTCTCTCTACTAGAGATTGTTACAAGTCTATGTCTATGTGGTAATGTGATGACCGTCAAATTGTTGAATAATCAATAAAGTATGCATTTATTTTCATCAGATAATGCTGTGATGATCAAACAGCCTCATGGACTTGTGATCATCTATAGTAGAAATGAATTACATTATTCCTAAATTTATCAATTATATAATTTAGAAAGAAGTGGATTGCATAAAATATGTCAAATTAACTCAAATTAATTTTGAGCATGGTGGATGCACGGTTGATCAAGAATCAGATGTGCAATATATGGGAAGTGATTAAGCCCCGCACTCATTAATAAGGTGTAAGTTGGTTTTTGCTCATAGAGTGATGGTGAGGAGGGGGGGGGGGGGGGGGGGGGGATTGAGTTTATGACTGGTATTTTTAGAAGAATATGTAATTAAAAAGTAAAGAAAAAGTTTTGTATTTATATGCAAAATATTTTACTATGTGAATGTTTGATTAAAAATGATCCTATAGCAAAAAAAGTTTTAAACTAGTGGACACCAAATGAAGGCTAAATTATGATATGGTGCATATCTAGGAAGTGATTACAATTAAAGTATAAATATATCTGCACTTGTGAATTTCACGAAATATGTGGATAATAAATTGGTTTAATCTATTATAAATATAAAAAAAAAAAAAATATTGTACCAAACAAGTTATATTAAGGGTTCATTTGGAATTACTTTTGTTTTTACTTTTATTTTCTATAAAATAGTTTTTGGATGAAACTACCTTAATTTTTGTTCGAAAATTAATTCTTAAAAGAATTTCCTATTCGGAAAGTACTTTTAGAAAAAGTCACATTGGACCAACTTCCTCTAAAAGCTCTTTTAACTAAA